CAGCAGGTTCAGATTTTTCACATCCGGATTGACTGATCTGCTACGAGTCAATGTGGAGCTTCAGAACCCTTCTGACCTGCAAGTGGTCATGAGCCTAGCACATGCATATGAACAACGAGCAATCATAGCCATGGCCTACATGAGAAGTCATCTATGCATCGAACAGCAGCAAGGTACTTCCTGGAATGCTAAAGTCGCTGTTGGGGAAGAACACACGGTCCGTCAATTAACAAGCACAGAGATGGCAGAAAGAAGGGAAAAGGGATTGTGTTTCAACTGCGATGAAGAATTCTCAAGAGGTCATCGTTGCCAATGACTTTTTTACCTTTATAAGTATGATGGCGATTACAAGGAAGATCTGACATGAACTACAGCTCAAGGAAGAGTTGTATCTGCAAAGGGGAGTAATGTTGTGGCATCTTAAGAGTCTAGTTGTCTATTAAGCTTAGCCTAGGAAGTATCCAGGGTGTGTGTGTGTGTGTGTGTGTGTGTGTGTGTGTGTGTACTAGTAGAAGAGTGTTTGTAGGAAGAGTCCAGTTGTCTGTTAGGGTGTGTTTGGTTTCTATCATGAACTGGAATGGCACGGGTCGGTTCTGTTCCTAGGACCCATTCTAGTGTTTGCTTGACCTGAGGAACCAGAACCACTCGCTCCTGGAACGGCATATTCGATCAATATGCCGAACCTGGACGTTCCTCCAAATTGGCCGGACGACGCGGAACGCCTCGCTCTCGCCCCTCACCCGACCCTCGCTCTCGCCCCTCACCCGACTCTCACTCACCCCTAATCAGCGCCGATCTCTCTCGCTCGATGCCCATGGCGGCAGCCGTATCCCTTCCTGCTCCTCCGCGTCACCCCATCCTCGCCGGCGTCTCTTGCCTCTCAACCTAGGATCCCGCGAAAGGAAGGAGGCGAGCGCTCTTCTCCATGGCGGGATCCTCGGATCCATCAGCGGAAGGAGGATAGAGAAACAGCAGTAGGGGCGCCAGACCAGCAGATGCTGAGAGGAACGGGGCGGCGGATAGCGGCAGACTAGCAGCGGCGGCGGGCTAGCAACGGCATGCAGGTACGATGCAATATTCGCGGCGCATCAAACAACAACAATTAGGCAGTGTGCAGCCACAGGCAGTCTTGCTGTGCCTACACACCGACATGGATTAATTTTCTAATCATGTGAGGTTGGTAGAACTATGAGTTGTTGTGCCTACCTGAGCTTTAAATTTTTCTTTGTTGTGTACCTCTGTACTGCAGCGTCTATATATACCGTTCTCTGAATCAATGTAATCAAGTGTTTACTATACATTCAGTTAGTTTCCTATCAAAATTTAATTCTGTACAAATCAATGTAATCAAGTGATATGAACAATTCCATTCCATCCCTCAAACCAAACATCAAAATGTAACCATTCCATTCCTCGCAATTGCTCCTACCAGACACAAGGACGGAACCGACCCGTTCCAGTGAAATGTAACCATGTCATTCCATTCCACTTCGTTCCCGAACCAAACACACCCTTGATGGACCCAGCCTAGTATGGAAGTATCCAGGGTGTATTTGTCCTAGTAAAAGAGTCATGTTTGTCGGTATAGTCCAGTTGTCTCTTGGATGGATCAAGCCTAGTCTAGAAGTATCCAGGGTGTGTTAAATTACTGTTCTTACTGTCCGGTGAACAGTAACCAGCCTAAATGGTCTATATAAGGATGTATCCCACTTGCAAGGATTGGTTCTGTTCCAGAGTTGATTAGAACCCGATTGTGTTTCTTATTTCCTGTTTGGGGTCCTCCATGCAAAAACCAGGGACCTAGTTGTAGTTTCTGTTTATGTGTGGGTCCTGTTGTAATCTGCTTTGTATCACCGTTTAAAAATTAATGCAGGTTCTGGGTCCTTTGGGGCCCATCTCTAGTTCAAAAATAATATATCTAGTTCCTATCTATGCTTTTCTTCTACCCCTATAATTCTCCAATCTTTCCCGACTACACTTCTACTGTACCACGGCGCCTATATGGCGACGACCCTCACGTCCAGCGAGTATCCCACCCTACAACCTCTGTGGCCACCGTCGGCTACAACACTGGCATAATAACCTTGTGGCATATGACATGTAAAATTCATAATAAAAAATGAGAAACTAAGAACATGTAAGATATTGTTCATTTTGGGGCACACTATTTATCCTATGTGCAATAGACAACTGGCTGAATTCAAGCCCTTAGCCCCTTGAGTTCATAATAGACTAATGTAAATCATCGGGGAACTTTTCGGTAGCGCACACTTAATACCATAGTTAAAAAAGGCGCGCCTAAGCGAGCGCTTAAGCGCGCCTAGGCTCTAGGCGTTGGCAAAACGCATTGCGCATAACTACGCTTAATCTGTGCATAACTGTGCATAAGCATGCGCTTTGGTCAGTAAAGCGCAAGGCGGTGGCAAAACGCACAATTAACGCCTAGCACTTTTTTGAACTATGCTTAATACTGAACATTGCAAAGAATGGACACTTCATATACTATCACCAAGCTTATTAAATGGCAAAAGCAGACTTGTTTTGGCCCATAGTTACCAGATATACTAATATTAGATAAATGGTTAAATTATACATGAGAATCCTAAATAGAAAAAACAACCATGGATGTGTCATGTTATCCACCCAGCGCTTAGTCTAAACAGAAGTACTGGATTTAAAATAGTACACGAATGTTGGACCAATTATCTTGATTTGGATTGCTTGAGAAACAACATGCAAAGGAAACAATGTAGAAATGTAAAAGCAAATCAAATATATCAACTAGCAAATACGAACTTGCAAGGGTGCATACATGAAGCTCCAACTTTTCCATGAAGGGAACTGCCTTCAAGAAGCAGACCAAATAGAGAACATTGTCAACATCTTCCTCAAATATATGCATCAAAAACTGGACTTTCTTAAGCTGGGAGAGCTTGTGTTGGTGACCTAAATCCCATTGCATCTGAGAGGCAAAAGAAAAACGTAACTAACAATATGAAGAATAAAATAAAATGAGAATAAATGGTATCCGACGAGCAAACCTCTAGTCGTTGAAACAAGATTTGCAGAGTCAGGTTTTGAATGCTTGGAATATCATTCAGAAGCGCAATGAGAGCATGCTGAAAAACTGCCTTGTAGAACAAAATGTTTGTGTTTTCCATCTTCAAACATCTAGTGAAGTCGATAGGAACAAACTGTCCTTTATATTCAAAGGTGGAGAGCCTTGTAGCGTGGAACTGTACCTTGGTTATAATGCAATTCACAACTCGCAAGTACATAGATGGGACATCGGGCTTTCAACCCTAAGTTCATCATTCAGATGGCATCTTACAATGCTCAACCACTCGAGACTGTAGCAATTGGACAACATATTCTCAAGATCATTGCTAGTGACATGCAGCAAGTTCAGATCTAGCTTTCTCAGGTTCGGAAAACCTCTGAACTGCATAGGTAATTTCAACAATACAAAACTTAGTTGAATGCACTGAAGACGTGCTAGGCTCTCACTGTCAAACAGTCCAAACGGAAACGCATAACGATCATCACGACCCCCAGATTTGGTAGGTGCTAGATCTAAAGCTAGATTCCTCATCCGTGACGACACAGCAAAACTAACCCAGCAATTGAGATGATCAACCAGCTTGCTGTCAAATGCATATTTGACTTCAAAATTTTCAACTTCTTTGCCTTGATACTTTTGCAAAACCAAACTAACGTCATCAATGAAATTCTGCTGTTCATTTTTTTGTTCGTCAAGCCTAATCCCGCCACGTACGGCAACACTATTGAAACTTAATTTGGGACAGATAGTCCACGAATATCTCCACTGACTTGATAAAGCACTAGTCTTCAAAACCTCTTTTACAGGCAATTTCGATAAAATTGTGCGAAGCACATCCTGCATCAAGTGAAAAATACCTCGCCGTCAGAAATTCCAGTTATACTCAACATCAAGACAAAAGTTGAGTTTGCAATACCTCAGGAAGGTCTTCAAATTTAACATTTTTCCTTCCTTTCTGGTTGGATGGTTTGACATTGTAATGGTCCAAAGTTGTTTCTGTGCTCATTAGATAGTTCGTCATTTTATTTTTGACCTGAAATAACAAGACAACGTTCATACTACGATGGATCAAGAAAGCCAAGTGAAAACTGAGAGCACTATGCAAATAAAATTCAATTAACAAAGTATGTTCATGCCCTATTCAATTGAAGTAATTAAACTATCCCTGTTCAAATAGTAGTAGAGCAAAAATCCAATAAATTTGAAGATGGAACATCTTGGATACGGTATTGAAAAGTGGAACCAAGATTTCCAAATGGACAGGTAGGGTATTTCTATATGTGATAGATAACCCAAATGCAAAAGATTGCCATCTACAACAATTCTCTCATATAGAACCTGAGAATAAAATACAACAATCAATCTTGGTTAGGGTGATTAACCGAGTTGATACCTATGTTTTAAAGGCGTCCCTAAGGCGACGCCTAGGCGACGCCTAGGCGTCGAAGCGCTCCCCCTCCGCTTTGGAAAATCGACCGCTTTGGGCGCCTAGGCGTCCAAAGCGCCCGCCTAGGCGTCGCCTAGGCGCCAAAGCGCCCCCCCTCCCTAAGGCGGTAAGGCGTCGCCTTAAAAACATAGGTTGATACAAAAATTCTGCTAATACATTCGAATAATTAAATACTCTGTACTTGGGAGTAAATTAAAGAATTCCATAAAATTCTGCTTATTTTATCAACAGGAAGCATGGAGGCAATCCTCATGCACTTGGTATTGTTTTTAATGCTGAGCTTGCAGTTGCTGGACAGAAATCTGCCGTAGAGAAATAGCCCCAAAAAAGGGAAAGGCACCTTATGACAAAATAGACAAAAAAGGTCGTTGAATTGACAAACGATGGGAGAGCCTTGGACCAATCCTCGAAACAGATGTGTGGAAGAAAGGGCATGAAATTAGTATTGATGTAAATTTAGCGCAAACTTCAAGAAGGCATGATTAGGCACTTGCTTCCAGTCTAGGAGGCGGTCTAGGTGCACTACGATAGATCGATCACCGCGGCAAGGAACCAACATCTGAAGTCGCCGGCATCGTTATTGTATGTGGGGGAGTGGGAGGAGGCAGCCAGGCAGGTAGCGCTGTGTTGGATGGAGGCATCAGAAGGATGCAACTTCCTTTCCTGAGGCGGCTCATAAGTAGCTAGGGTTTAGATAAATGGTTGCATATGTGCATGGTATTAATGGGGTACTCTAAAATGAGACATATTTCTTATCTTCCCTCCTTCTTCTCCTACCTCCAGCATTCCCTCTCACCCCTGCTGCCAAGACCGTGAGGCATGAGCCGAAAGATCTCATCCTCCGGCTGACCACCACAACAAGTTGCCTCTTCTTCCTCAATCTCCATTCCTCGGCCTTCTATCCTTACCCTTTACCTTTACCATTCACCCTCCTCCCTAATCCTCCCTGCAGTCAAAACGAGAACTATGCCTTCTTCAACCTTGATTTTACAAGATACCAACTATGTTATGCACACATGGCTAATCGGTTAGGATATACAGGATGTGTGTACAAAGGCGCCTTGCCTCGCACACTAAGCGCTTCAAAGTTGTGAAAGGCGCGGATGGCGCCTCGCCTCACCTTGACACTTCAAGAAAATGATACTTAGTACAATAAAAGATTGGACGCAGTATCAATTGTTTAACACTAGTTTAAAAAATTGCATGTTAAAAATGTGAACTTTTTTACAAGACCTCATGCCAGTCCGGCCCATGTTTTAGTCTCCACCCTCAGGTATAGTCACGTTAACTGCTAAACTGCTACACTGAGTCTTGTAGAAGCATCAACTGTTTGACCCCAACCAAAAATTTATTAAAAACCCTCTACAGGAGCAAAGTTGTCACATTTTGGGGCAAAATTGTAATACCCTCGGCTTCAGAAATTCGAGTTACTCTAAACATACACATTTCATAAGTTCAAAATACCTGGAGAGGGTCTTCTGTTATAACATTTGACCTTCCCTTCTGGTGGATTTGTTTGCTATAGCAATGATCCAATGTTGTTCTTTCACTCATTACATGGTTTCCCATTTTGAAGCTGACATTGACAAGGTAAAGTTATGGGTCTGTCTAGGGTACATCTTGATGTGCCCTAGTTATTGCACATCTAAACGACTCAATCAAACTTGAAAGGAAAAGAAAAAGACAAAAGAAAATGCTTGCATGAATCTTTGCACAATACTTAGAGCACATCTAGATGTGCTTTAGCAAAACTGCAAAGTTATTTCAGTATGTGATACAATATTATGCATGGAAAGTCAGCAAATTGAGGAGGAGAATGGAACTAAAATGTAACTGAGTCGAACCATCTTTTTTTTCTCTGTGCTTGGGATGGTCTGAGAACTTCGTAAAACCTATGATTCTAGTCCAACAAGAAATGAAATATGACTGAAGTGTGCATCTTAACACACGGTATAACCAAATTGACACACAAAAGACTAAGGGAGCTGCCATCCCTAGCAGATCTGACTTACCGAATCAGCAGCAAGTAGAATAGAAGAAACACAAAGGGGACAGGGAACCAAAAACTATGGTTGGGGCACGACGCGATACTGGATGCTGCTCTCCCCCTCACTCTCCGGTCGATCTAACCGGAGAAGTGGGCGGTCGTCGTCAACGGCGGCCGCTGCACCCTTATTTGAACCGATAGGCGACGATACGGAACGAAAGATAGGGGGCGGCGGTGCTTTGAAGGGACTGGGATGTCGCGATGAACGGCTGTGGAGATCTCGGGCAGCAGGATTAACGGTGAGGAAAAGGGACCAAGCCGCTTATGGATTCCGGCTGGATAAAGACCTCTTTTTTCCAAGTCGGATACCACGAATCGAACACAATAAGCCTCACGCAAGCTCGCGATGTCCATATCGGATTAGCTACTAGACAAAGAGATTCACTTCATCGGGAAGAAAGAGAGAAAGAGATTGGCCAGCGGCCCAGCCCCGATTCCTCTCCCTCTCCCTTCCCTCATCTGCCGCCGCCGTCACCACCGGCGCCCTCCCCGCAGCCGCCGCCACCACCGGCACCCAGGTGTGGCGCGGCTCTTCCCCATGGCCCTGACGGCAAGGCGGCAACAAGAGTTAGAAGGCGGACGCGAACGGCCCCGTGAGCTCTCGTCCCGATGAAGTCACAGAAGGACGAGATCCACCCGGACGAGGTCGATGCGCCCCCTGCCACACTTCCTTCTCCATCGCGTCACCATATTCGGAGGAGTCGCGGCTGCAGCTCGCGCACCTGCTCCTCCTGGAGTTGTCGCCATGATACGGCTCAAATAGCTTTGAGACGATTTTATGTAGTGACCCAGATCTTTCACTCGCGCAAACAGGTAGAAGAAATTATTATTTTTTTGAAAGGAAGAAATAATTTTTGGAAGAAGTAGAAGTGTACGTGCTAGTTGTAGTACTAGGATAGATGGAGGGATTAAGCTAATGCGGCCACGGCGACGGAGTAATTAGCGATAATAAGCACTAGCAGAAGTAGATGGAGAAGAACGGGAAGCTTAGCTAGATCGATCTTTGTAGATCAAGAATCAAACTAAACTTGTGCCTTGGTGATCAAAACTGCCGAAACACATGCAATTATCAAACCCTAGATACGGACGCAGACATATACGCATCCATCAGATGTAGTTTCTAAGTTTTCTTCTTCAACTAAAACCTCCCTTTTACATGGCCATATGGCCTTTATTTATCGGAAATGTTAACGCCCACACGTGTGGGCGTTTGCGTATCGTCCACACGCCTCCATCACCATTCATTTTGCCACGTATGAATAGATGACATCAGCAGAATTTTTTTTTTGGTTTTCGGCTTAAAAATGTTGTATCTCCTAAATAAAAAAGCGAACTAAAAATTCGTTTTCACCATTAAATCCGTCTCGACGAGATCTTCAAAACTAGACCCCATGTTGATATGTTTCGACGAAAAAAAATTTGCCAGAAGTTGCCACGATGTTTACACTGCATTTGCCATAGGGCTTAAACTAAAGTTGCCATGTGGCAATTTTAGTTTGTAGATCATGACAATTTTAGTATTTTGATGATGGCAACTCCAGTACTTTGACCATGAAAATTATTTTTTATATGAACCATGGCAATTTTACGTGCATGTATCATGGCAATTTTAATTTATGGTTCATGGCAAGTCTAGTTTCTTAATTACCCGTTTTATAAATGTCAAAATTTACTTTTAAATGTAGAAGAAAATAGCTGAAACATATCATGGCAACTTCAGTGTAAATATCATGGCAATTAATATGCAATAGACATGGCAACTTTTAATCCAAATTTTTTTTCATCAAAACATATCAACATGGGATCTAGTTTCGAAGATCTTATCGCGAGGGATTTAATGGTGAAAACGGATTTTCAATCGGATTTTTCGTTTAAGAGATAAAACATTTTAAAAACTGAAAATCCAAAAAGATTCCTGCATGCATGCATGCGATGACGTGACAATCTGTTTACATTAGAGACGTGTGGTGCGTCTCCCTTCCTGCCACACGTGTGGCAGTTAGCGCGACCCTTATTTATAGTCGCACGCAGGCAAGCTGGGCTAAGCCTAAAACTTACGAGAACACAAATCGGACTTGACGAACTAAATAAACTAGGACTCGGCTAGACCAAAACTACTAGACTTTCCATGCAACTATGAGACTTTCACGTGCATGGTTTTCTACTACCACTGCGACGATAATTAATTCCAACGAGGGGAAGTCCGAAAGTTTGGCCTGATATCTTGCTTTGGTGGTGTCGATGTTGATTGATATTTAACCGAACACTTTATCTTGTGTCGATCTGCACACGGCACAGGCCCAAGTATACATGTACCTCTTCTCCACATGCCAGCTACTACTCCACGTTGTGCTGGTATGACATATTTTCTACAACCGAACTCCCACACCTCCTTCTCTGTTATGACTTTTTTCGACGGTGCGATAATATTGAGTACATAAGTAGGCGTGATTATATCATCCCCCCTCCTTCACGCGAAACTGTCCTCAGTTTCGGGGCACTCTTCAAAATTTCCTTGTGAACGCCAAACACGGGATCAATCTTGATAGCATTGTTACCCATGGGCTGCAGCACACGTTTGATGCCAATATCTCGGAACACGTATGTGTTGGATCTCTCCTCATGTATAGCATTGCGATCATATTGTCACGGACGACCCAGTAGCAATTGACACATATACATTGGCTCAACATCACAAATCACCTCGTCATAATATGTGACAATATTAAACTTTACGCGTACCTTATGAGTCACCTTCAGACGTCTGAAGTTGTACAACCACTCAATGCAACGTGGTTGCGGATGTGGCCATGTCTTCAATCCTAAAGCATCCACCACACACTTGCTTATAATGATGGTGTAGCTCCCTCCATCAATAATCAATTTGCAACACTTGTTTTTGATCTGGCATTGTGACTGAAAAATTTTCCACCGCTGTCCTGCGCTTGTTATTTGATCCTCTTTGGCTCGCTGCACCATGATGCATGGCAGATCATAATCCAAAGGATAGCACTTGATAGGATTAGACTCACTTTCCCCTTCCTTGGGCTCTTCAGACTCTGAGTCAGTTTTGTCTTCAGAAACATATCCGTCATTAACAAGGAGCACTCTCTTCTTGTTCGGACAATCAATGCGTTTGTGTCCCCTACCTCCACATGTGTAAAACACAATCTCACTAGTACGCATAGCAGATTGCGCACTTGAATCAGCCCTTGAAGCCACTTTGCTCGCGGCCATAGATTCTTTGCTCATCTCCTTGTGATCGGTAGCAGCTGACTTATAGGATGAAACTGGCTTGACATTATCATCGTCATGCGAATAGGAACGTTGCCCCGTGTTAAAATTGGTGCAGCCTTTGAAAAATTGCTTTGCTTTGACACACTATTCGGCACGCTCCGTTTGATGAAGAAGCTCTTGCATATCATTATACTGCATCAAATCAACATGGTCGCGTATATCCTCATTCAGTCCCTCAAAGAAACGTGTCATTGTTGCATCGTCAGACTCATGCACATTAGTTCTGATCATCAGAACTTGCATCTGTTGGTAATACTCATCCACCGCCATGGCTCCTTGAACAAGACGTCGAAGATTTGTGTGTTGCTTCTTTTGGAAATAAGCTGGCACAAAGCGAGCAGCATCGTACGCTTCATCTCACGCCACGATTCTGGTCGTGCGTCATTGCGGTTGAGTTGATCCCACCAAATTAATGCATAACCTGAAAATTCAAGAGAAGCAAAACGAATCTTCCGCTCCTCGGAGTAACGATGGTTATCAAAAATCTGCTCCACACGCATCTCCCACTCAAGATACTCCTCAGGACCAGCCTTGCCTGTGAACGAAGGTATAGTAATTTTTATTCTACCAATACCTCCATCCTCATCCTCATCACGGCGCAGCCTTGGTCCATCATCATGGGGGCGAGCATCCTATTGTGGTCGGTGAGGCAAGTCGCCGCGAGCATCAGAACCATCCTCGGACTCAGCATCATTGTCGTCGTTGGCAACGTCCGCGTCACGGACGTGTAGAGGTGCTCGTTTCTGCAGGGCATGTTGTGCCCTCGTTGGAGCAGCCTCGCCGGTTGCCCTTGCCTCTAGGCGACGGAGGGCTGCCTGCATGGCCTGGACCCCATCGGTCACCGTCTCATCGAGGGCCTTCATGCGGTTGTCGAAGTGCTGGTATGTAGCCTTGAACATAGCACGGGCACCTGTGTCCAGATCGGGACCATATTGCGGCGGCCCATCATCCTCCTGCACCTCATTCGCGTCACGCTTGCTTGCAGTTGACATCGCGCGCAATGATAAACCTGACGCTCTCTGATACCAGATGATACAGCTCAAATAGCTTTGAGACGATTTTATGTAGTGGCCCTGATCTTTCACTCGCGCAAACAGGTATAAGAAATAATTTTTGGCAGAAGTAGAAGTGTACGTGCAAAAGAACGAGTAGCTAGACTAGATGGATGGATGATCGTAGAGATCGGAAAGTAGTAGAAGATGTGTGCGTGCTAGTTGTAGTACTA